TACTGTAAATTAAATGCTGAATGGCGGTTCATGCAGGGAAAAAACATATCAATATTCGCATATTCATTCAAAAACATGAAAATTCTTAATGGAGTACCCTCATTTTTTATTGAATTCCTAAAAAACAATATTTATAATGAATTTTAATAATTTTTTTGAATTTTTTTTAAGCTTTATTCGGACCGATTCACCCGATTCCCGATTCGGATCGCCGATCCGGATCGGTTTTTTGGAAGCTCGATCCGGGTCACCGATTCGTTTTTTAAACCATTGCTTTTTAGAAAGAAAAGATTGAACAATTAATTGTACCATCTTTTTGAGGGACCATCACTTACATTATTTAGATGGATGATTTATGCTTTGGGGAAACATCATCATCATCAAAGTCTTTTCTCAATTAATTATGGTAGGTTGGTTTATTCCATCAAGAATAGGAAACATAAATATAAAAATGCATCCAATGCATAAACTACTTTCCTAGAGGGAAACAGTAAGAGATTCTGGTCACAAATGATGCAAAATATTCCTTCTCCAAATCCTCTTTATTCATATATGGGAAAAGTTTATATAGAGTCAAGGCTCTAAACCATCAAATGGGAGCCTACCTCAAAAATTTCACTAGAAGAAGTTGTTTTGATGCCCAAATTTCTTCAAATTGATCATCTTGACAAAAAGATGCTTGGACATGAAAAAAAATGGATTTCAAGTTTTGGAAATAGTGTATTTTGTAACGCATTTTTTGACCGTCAATTTCAAGATTTTCAAGTTTTTTGGACTGTCAATTTCACAGATCTATGAAAACTTGAAAATCTTGAAAATTGACGGTCCAAAAATGCATTACAAAATACACTATTTCTAAAACTTGAAATCTATTTTTTTCTCATGTCTATGTATCTTGATGTTGAGATGATCAATTTGAAGATTTTTTTGCATCAAAATAATCTTTTCTAGTGAAATTTTTGATGTACTCTCTAATTTGATTGTTTAGAGCCTCCGCTCTATATAAACTTTTCCCTTCCAATCTTGCATGCGCATCGCATTAAAGATGAATTTTGGACCCAACTTTATCTTTGAGATTCATGATGTATGACTGGTGCTCTTGAAAATGAACCAAAAAAAAAAACAGTATAAAAAAAAACAAAAAATTTGAAGCTTTTTGTACCATCTATTCGGGGTGTCGTTATCTTAAGGTCCATCTTAAAGATGGGTAATCGATAGTGCATCTCCTGATTTATAGAAAACTTTTCCCTTATCCATTTCTTTTTGGGGAAATATTAGTAAATATTTCTTTATTTTTGTGATATTGAAATATGCGTCCTAATTTTTACATTTTACACCAATACTTCTTTTTCTTTTTCGTTTTCCAAAATGTTATTGAATTGGCACTCCAAATGCCTACCCAACCAGAAGCTAGAAGTGGCAATGGGACCGGTAGCCTAGCCCAGCCCAGCCCGGTTAGCCCAGTCTTAAAAAACTAAGGCATGCGACAAAATGTAGTCCGAGGGCCAGTCCAATACCCCCAAGGGGGTAGGCTAGGTCGTGCTTCGATCCGCGCCACAACATGGTCGACCTAGTTCGGCCCTGCCGGACCCTCTTTACTATTTTTTTCTTTTTATTCTTTATTTTATTTGCTAGCTTGGCTCGGATAGGGCCAGAGTTGAACCTGACCTCTTTGCACCGGTCTAGGTATGCTGGCCCTATGGGGACTAGGGGCAAGGCGGACCCATTCATTGCCAACCTTACTTGGAGCTCAATAAATATCCTATTCTAAAAATTGAAAGTTCAAAACAATTGGAAGCTACTCATTCGTGATGATTAGATACATAGATAAGTGTGGTATCATGACTAAGTCTGCTTCCACCGCAAGAAAAGTACTATCTTATGGAATTGTATGCATGAATAAGGCGAAAATGCAAATAATGCTACTCCCACCACTGAAGAGTTTGGCTTTATTCGGCTCAGCAAATATAGCAACTAACTAATTTTTATACCATGGTGCCAGAAGTTTGAGAGCGTGGAATAATAAATAAAAAGTATAAACTATGCTTTTATTGCTTTAATTTCTATGAGAGATTCAATAATAGATCCGAATTGATTTACAGCCTATTAGTCTCCGCACGAGTTTATCCAAAATCATTGTAAAAGTAATCGCTAATAGGGTTTAAAAGGTACTCCCTAATGTGATTTATGGTCCTCAGTATACTTTTATTAAGGATAGAATCATCACACTCATATTATACTTATGAGCTATGATATTCCTCAAGAAAGAGGTTAAGTGGGGATCTGGGTATTCTTAAGAAGTTGGATTTGGAGAAGGCATATAATAGGGTGGAGTGGCAATTTCTTAATGAAATTATGAGGGCCATGGGTTTTGGAAAAAGGTGGAGGGGTTGACTTATGGGATGTCTCTCTTTAGCATGTTTCTCAATTTTGATTAATAGCTGCCCAAAAAGATACTTTAAGGCTTCTAGGGGACTAAGACAAGGGGATCCGTTATCACCTTTTCTGTTCACCTTAGTGGTAGAGTGTTTTAGCTTAATGCTACAAAATGTGGTGGGTAGGAGCTGGTTTAATGGTTTCAGATTGTTGAAAATGGGCTAGTGATTTCACATTTTCTATATGCAGATGATACTCTCATCTTCTGTGTGGATGACTTTAATCAGGTATGTTCTATCTCGAATTTTTTGAGGTGTTGTGAGTTTACTTTGGGTCTGAAATTAAATATCTCTAAAATCTCTATGGTGGGTATGTGGGATACTTTGGTACATGATTTGGGGCGAGTGGAGGGTTGTGCTATTGATTACTTCCTTTTAAAATACTTGGGGATTGCTATTTCAGATACAAAATTACCCTGGTCTATCTGAGACCCAGTGTTGAAAAGGATCATTTGATGCTTGAAAAGGATCATTTGATGCTTGATCTTTGAAAAACTAAGTTTTTATATCCAAGAAGAAGAGTTATCTTGATACAGTCTTCTTTAGCATATATGATTGTATTTTTTATATCATTGTTACACATGCATGGACCGGTGATAAAAGAAATAGATACGCTTATGAAATTTTATCTGGAGCTCTTTGGATAGGGGAAGGAAGTATCATTTAATTAGTTGGAAAAAAGTGTGCACTCCAAAGTCAGATGGGGGTATAAGTATTAGAAAGCTTAAGAGTGTTAATCAAGCCTTACTAGCTAAATGTTGGTGGAGAACTTTGGGTGATGAGGACCAGCTATGGAAGGAGATACGTGTTGTGAAATAGGGGCTGGATAGTAATGGCTACATGGGAAGAGGAAGATGAGGCAGGTTCCAATCCCAAACATGGAAAGGAATTTATGCAAAT